AGCTGTGGATGATTCTCTGCTCTGTACAGCACCGTCAGCAAAGCACCAAGAGAATGAACCCACACAGATATGTGGTCTGTTACTGTACAGAGTTTAAGCAGCTTAAACACACCTGCATGAATATGAGGTTTGACATGTTGTATATTCACCATCGTTAAGGCTTCCATCAGAGAAGCATCAGGGAGCCAATGGGAGGCCAGCTTGTAGTCTGTAATCAGCCTTTAGATGTTACTAATCAGCAATATGTTACTACCAGTTCTATACAAGCGTCTTCAGGTACATTTATCTGTAAATAGTCTTTACCAATATTGCCAATATGCTTCTATTGATTCTCATAATGTTTACTGAAGTTTTTGTTTTGCATGAGAACTTGTCTCAACTTAAAAAGGCTGAATTGGACTTTCAGAGTGTTTTAAGCACCTAGTGGTAGAAATGATAATGTAGAAATGTTTAGGGTAGAATTGTAGTTTGTGTGTTAGATATTAGTTATTACATTAGCATGTTAGATGAAGTGACTGCAATATGAATCAAAGCCAATTCATAGTCATTATAGTCTTATAATTACTGCACACATTTACCTGCTACAATGTAACGTTAAGACTTGGAGACGGATGCTAATTGCCGTCCTTGATGGATTCCAAAGAGTTTTTTCTCCTGTCAGGTAGTAGATGAGCAAAGTTTGTACGACAGCCCTGCGAGGCAAACATTCTGATTTTGGATCATATAGAACTGAGTTAAACATAATGGTTAAAATGTGATGATCTAAGATGTGTTAAGTTTACTCGCTATTAGATGATGAGATTATGATGCTTTATTATGTTTACATGAAGGAAGCTTTAATCCAAAGGAGTGATCATTGAATGTACGCTGAAAAAAACGATACTTTGGACCAACTCGTATTGGACAGTAGTCCAATACAATTCTATATTTTGCTTTATTTCAAATAAAATGTCACAACAAACAGTATTTTCTGTGATAGAAAAGTAGAATGTTCATACAAGATGAAACTGAAAACATTTTGTCACAGTCAATGTTTGATCTTGTTTAATAGAAATAAAGACAGGAAAATTCTCTTCAAAAGACCTTCAGGTTTACTCGTCTTCCCCGAGGTACAGAATGATGCACTTCAGCAGACACTCAGCTTCACCTCACGGCTCTACAGTGCAAACACTACAATACACGAATGGCTACTTGGAGTTACAGTAACTGAGATTTACAGAGGCTTTCAGCTACTACTGGGAAGTATACTGGTTCATGCAGTGTACTGGTTCATGCAGCGTACTGGTTCATGCAATGTACTGGTTCATGCAGCGTACTGGTTCATGCAGTGTACTGGTTCATGTACTGAACCATTCATACTGGTTCATGCAGTGTACTGGTTCATGCAGTGTACCGGTTCATGCAGTGTACCGGTTCTTGCAGTGTACTGGTTCATGCAGTGTACTGGTTCATGCAGTGTACTGGTTCTTGCAGCGTACCGGTTCTTGCAGTGTAACGGTTCATGCAGTGTACTGGTTCTTGCAGCGTACCGGTTCTTGCAGTGTACTGGTTCATGCAGTGTACTGGTTCTTGCAGCGTACCGGTTCTTGCAGTGTAACGGTTCATGCAGTGTACTGGTTCTTGCAGCGTACCGGTTCTTGCAGTGTAACGGTTCATGCAGTATACCGGTTCATGCAGTGTACTGGTTCTTGCAGTGTACTGGTTCTTGCAGTGTACCGGTTCTTGCAGTGTACCGGTTCATGCAGAGTACTGGTTCATGCAATGTACTGGTTCTTGCAGTTTAAATGATTATTGATGTGATAATGATCAAGTATGGATGTATGTATCAATACATCACAATTGATCAGGACTTCATTCTGACAACTCTTCCCTTTGTTTCTAATAGCCAGGAATCGCGGTTGTGATTCTCAGAAATTCCCCACTGACCTTTAAAAAACAAGAGTACATTACATGTTACATTATAACTTTGTGCTGTGTGTTTTTTTTTTTACATCAAGTGTCCAAACATGAATGTTGTGTTGGTGTGGCATCATTTATTTGCAGGTTTCTAATGATAGGGGATAATATCATTAATTATATAAGCAATCACTGACGTATTGCCGTTGATTACAAAAGTTGGTATTTTCAGGTATCTAGTTGGCCTCTCCTCTCCCAGGAGTCTTAACTGTTCTTTCTGGCAGTGAATCTTCTGGAGCTTTGGACTTTTGGACCGTCTTCTGCTACCTTTTCCAGAATACCTGCCTTTGTTTCTGAACTGAGAGTCAACCTTGTCTTGTTTGATCCCTACACAGCATTTCCCTTTGCTAACTGCAGTTTTCCAGGCTTTAAGTCACTCACTGAACAACCCTCATGATGAATTTAAGTGTGGTCAGTTCAGTATGTCTGGAGGGCTGATGAAATCTTAACAAGTGGCTTAAAGTCTCTAAAGTCCAAGTCCTGCAGGCACACGGGCAGTTGGCATAGATGCAGGGACAGGATAGATTCTAGAATATTGTGATGTCACGAGATGCTGGGTCTTGGAAGGGAGATACGTTCACCGGCGATGGCTGTAACTACTACGGCTCCATCTGCTGGTGGAGGTAGGAACTCCACCCCGAAACTCAGAGCATTCCCCTCACACCTGAAACCCACCAGGGTGTGTCGACCGGGAGGCCTTCATGAGGGCGGAAGACACACCGCTGAGAGGGAGAGACGAGCTGCAGAAGAGCAGACCAAGACAGAAGGATTCCCCGAGGCAGGAGAGGACGGTGGTTTCTCCTTAAACAAGTGGATTTCCGTTTCCCCTCCAGAGACAAGACATTAGTTAAGTTTTACCTTCACAGATCGACCGAAGCCTGAGTTGCCCCCTGTTGGAC